GAGTGATCAAGTAACCCTTGAAAAAAACAATCCACAACAACGAGTTTTATTACAAACAATGATAAAAATACTACAAGCAACACAATAACCGAATAATAAGTTAAACATATTCAAATAATTCTAGTTGCTTCTACCAGCCCTCCATTCAGTTCAATACATTCGTCGCATCTTTTTCTTAGATTAACAGTTACATTCCTAAGCTGCTGTGGTGTAATATTTGCAGAAGCCTCTGTAATTCTAATACGTAATTCATCTACAGATTGAGGTCTAGACTTGTAAACTTGTTGCTTTAAGAAACCCCAAAGAAAGAAATCAAGGGGTGTTAGGTCCGGGGATCTCGGTGGCCACTCAATTAGCGGGCTATTGCGACCTATCCACTTATTTTCAAAATTTTCATTTAACCATTCCCTGACAACTGCCGCGTTATGCACAGGTGATCCGTCCAATTGAAATTTTAAATTCAAACGGGTTTGGCATGGTAAATTATGTATTGCATCCCAAAAGTCATTAATCAGAAAATTCAAAAACGTTGGACTATTCAAATTTCTCTCAAAAAAATATGGACCAATGATTCTATCATCAAGTATGCCACACCACACATTTAATTTCTGAGAATACTGTCTTCTTGTATTGATCACCCATTCAGGGTTTTCGACTGCCCAGAATCGCGAATTTTGAGAGGATACTACTCCGTTTGTACTAAATGTTGCCTCATCACTAAATAAAATTTCTTTTAAGAAATTTCTATTATTTAAATACTCTGCTTGAGCCCATAAGCAGAATTCTAATCGTCTAACATCATCTCCGTTTTCCAAAGTGTGTAAAATCTTTGGTTTAAAGGGTTTAACTTTATTAGTTCGCAAACATCTCCTAATATTTTCCCTTGGTATATCCAAATCAACACTGGCGCCTCTAATGCTTGCACGAGGATTGTTACGAAAATATTCTAATATTTCCTCATTCCGCCTATTTATTCGATGTTCCGGCCTTCTGTTTTTTAGTAAGTATTTTGACACACAACCAGTTTCATTAAAAACTCTATTTATTCGTTGAACCGTGCTTCTACTTACTGCGGTCTGTCGGGATGTCTGTTGTTAAATTCTCTGGCAGCTTCTCCTGCTTGAAGATAGTTATCACCCACTAAACGAATAATTTCAATTTTATCCCTAATATTTAATTGTTCCATAATGCAAATAATATTTCTTGATACAACACTTTTCTGCGTGCTATTAAATTAATATTCAATTCTACGCTGCAAGAATTGACAGCTAATAAAATTGTTGTGGATTGTTTTTTTCAAGCGTTACGTGATAACTCATCGTTAAATTGGCAAAAATAGAGAATTATTTAATTTAACTGCAGAATTATTAATAATTAATATTTTTAAACGAAATTTGGTACAGAACTGTTTTGGGGGATGCCGAATGTAGGTGTGTACTCAAATTTTTTGAAAAAAAAATCGCTAATATGATTTTGCAAATTTTTCACCACAAAAACTTTATTAAGTAGGCCTTGTTTTTTGTGAAATAACATGACATTGAGCCCTAAAGTACATTTTTTGAAACTTTATATTTGAAAAAAAAATCATCAAAATGGGACTATAAACACAGATTTTATGGAGGGTGCCCGGTCTTGAGTGGGTCACACTGTATAAGAAGAAGATATGTTCAGACTGCTTTAAATAAGATAGAACGAAAAATACATTTGTGCATTAGGGAGGGCGGTAACCCTTTCAAAAAAATCAATTTTTCCAGAAAACTCAGCAATCCTTGAAATTTTTAAAAACTTTTTTGATGGCATCTTGGTGAACATCCCAAGCGGCAACTTTGCCCCAACTTTACCATGTTGGTATCTATTACGGTTTCTGAGATACCAATGCTCGTACCTCGAATTTGTAGCATCTTGTATATAAACTCGTTGATATTGCTGTTTTTTTTATGGAAATCCGCGAATTTCGATGAATATCATTACTAAAACCGCGAATACCAAACTGTTTTTTTATAATTCTACGCTATAAACTGTAAAATGTTACTAAAAGTCCTTTTCAGATCTTTTATAAACTACTTTCTTCATTCTCTCTGCTAACCTGTTCGCTACTTAATAGAAATAAATCGTAAACGATTGAAAGGAACAGCACAGAGGCGGTTCCCATATATTTCTCGGCGAAACGATCACGTCGACGGGCTTCTGGCGGCTCCGGGGACTCCGGGAATGCCCCGGAGTCGTTCTTCTGGATTTTATGGACATTCGACGATTGAATACGAAAACTATTGGTGCGCAGAGGGTATATAAAAGTGCTTTCATACTTCTTTTATTTATCGTTTTCCGCCGATATACCGGGTGTTTTTAAAAAGTCGTTCACACCTATAACTTTTTTTATTTTTCAGATAAAAAAATCGAAATTTGGTTTAATTGTATTATATGACATAAATCAAAATTGATTGACGTATTCAATTACTTTCAGCCACTTCCTGTTTTACCGGAAATGACTACAACTTTTTTTAATAACATTCTGAATAGAATGACTTATGTCCATTTTTGACAAAATATATTATAAGACTATATTACTAAGGAACAGAAATTGAAGCTAAATTTTTGAGATGGAGCTATACAAAATCCACATAAGTCGGTCCTTTTCGTTCAACATCTTTGAACTACGCAAGCGTGAGAAGTGCTTTGCGATTAGTTGATTTATGTCATACTAACCAATAGAAGTAGTTTTCTAAGTTTCTATCTACCACGTAAATCAATTTAGCGTCTGACTGTTCGCGCCTTTACTTATAAATTTAAATTTAATCTCTGGCATATTTAAACAAAAACAAGAAACGGATAGATATGATGAACATCTAAAATAACAGGTTGAAATAATGCCATTACCAATAAAAAAATAATATATGATACGTTTGTGCGCGGGCAGGTGACAGTTTTTTGCTGTTCGTCTCGCTAGCTCGTGTGTCATGGCTTTGAATTTTCACCCCCAGCGCGCCTAAAGAAGCTTTATTTCAAAAATTTACATAAATCAAGCTTGAAACACATTTAGGGCCAAGCTTAAACTCCCATAACCCTGTCAAGGGTCAAATTGACTTAAATTTAGCTCTCATCACTCGATGTCCCATCCCTGTTGTGCTTTATTCCTGCTAAACTAAACTAATTTGAGCAGGAAAGCGTCTGCAAGTTCCACATCCTGCCTGGTCACGTTTGCTAGGCATTCTCGTCACGTAATGCCAAATTAAATTTTGTGGCCTGTCTGTAGTCAGCTCCAAAAATGGCGTCGGGGTAGTTCTCGATAAGTTAGAGCCAAACTTTGTTCTGTTATTAGGAAAGTCAGTGCCAAAGGGTATAGAAGTACGTGGAGAACATGCTTATAGATCAATTTCGAAGTAGTTTATTAAATTTTAACGGCAAAAAGATTCTGATTTTTATTTTTTAAATTCGTTAGCGTCAGGTGGTGTAAAAGATGAGAAATTTAAGTAATACTATTGAAGTTACTTAGTAGAAAAATTTAACACTAATTCGTATCTCGTCGAGTATATATCACATTATATAATATTATATTATAAATACTTTGTAGAGGATACATGGCACTATGACTATAGTTACCATGTATCTTCTCCAAAAAAAATAAAAACTTTTTGTGTACAGGGTTTGTAAAACACCCTTTTCTATAGGAGACAGACAAAAACTAATATCGGTGTCTGAAGCTCAGTTTTTGTCAAAAACATGATGGTGAGAACCGCATATCGATATCTGTTACCGTTTCGGAGTTACGGGGTATTTTTCAAAAATATGCATTTTTAACAAATCGCTGTAACTTTTTTGCTATGGAAAATTATGTATTTTTATGAAAACATTTTCAAAGCACCTTTTTACGTAGAATTTAATGGTTTAAGTATAATTTTTTTAAATTAATAATTTAAGAATTATGAACAGAAAATTTGATTTCTTATATGGGACACCCTGTATATTTTTAATTTATTGAAAAGAATTTAAAATTACCTTTCCAAAAATATAGTAGATATAGTATATAATATAGAGTATATAAAAATTCGCCCGCTTTAAATAAGTAGGCTTTGAACGGCACCGGCTGTAAAGCAAAAAAAAATCTAGCCATGAGCATCAATTAAAACGAAAATAATATTTGCCTATGAGAGATGCAGAATTTTATAACAATTCAAAATATATTTAACCAACATCAACACATTTAAACTATATCTAATAACAATAAAATAATGACATATCGACCGTCTTCTGTTATGGACAGACGGGGCAGTTTTTGAACATTTCTCGCAGAATTCATTAACTCAGTAGGGGTGAAAGGTACCCTCTCATAACTGCTAAGTATTTCTAATTCTAATTATTTCTAATTCTTAATTCAGCCAACGGCTGGGATCTTGGTTAGCTATTCAATTATTCTTAAAATTAGCTGCAAAAATGCTGCTGATAACTTCAGCGTTCAGAGGCGGTACGTCGTCTTGGAAAAATATATTTTCGAGTTCCTTTAAGCGCATATTATCAATAAGGGGTCCAAAGCCTACTAGTTAAAAGTGGCGAACTTTTAAAATTCTGTATTTCGAAGGGGATTATAACAAAATATCAAGTGTGCTATATTTTTAAAAAGGTAATTTTAAATTCTTTTCAGTTAATTAAAAATATAGGGGGTGTCCTAAATAAAATATCAATTTTTCTGTTGATAACTCTTAAATTATTAATTTTAAGAAAGTGCTTTGGAAATGTTTTCACAGAAATCCAAAATTTTTCATAGCAAAAAAGTTACAGCGATTTGTTAAAAATGCATATTTTTGAACAACACCCCGTAACTCCGAAACGGTAACAGATATCGATATGCGGTTTTCACCATAATGTTTTTGACAAAAATTGAGCTCCAGACACCGATATTAGTTTTCGTCTATCTCCTATAGAAAAGGGTGTTTCCATTTAAAAGCATTTAACTTTTTTTTTTTGGATTATTTAGGTACAAATTTTCACACACAATCACTCACCTGATTTTAGCTAACTTCACTATAGTTCTTTGGGGACTTTTAATCACGGAAAACTCCACAGTCCGTCTATTGGCACCAGATGAAACATTATAACAATAATAGTCACTAGATTTCATGGAAGAGACACTACTACTACACGCACGAGTCGGCAACGTCGCGCTACGTTGACACGACCGCGATATACAGGACGTTTCAGTTTGTTTGGCTTGGTGTTCTGATTGGTCAGAGTATCTGCGATTAATAAAAATTTTAGAAATATTTTATATCAAAATAACTATAGCATATTCAAGGTATCTACCTTCTCTCCAGTGATTTGTATCCGCAAATAAACTCCTTGATTTCCTCATTCTCGTCGATATCACTGATGTAGTGTTCGTTTGAAAGAACACTATGATACTCAGGACTAGTTTCACAATTACTAATGTTATCCTCATATTTCTTCTGTAGTTCTCTGTTTAAAACAGTCACTTCTTCCAATTCATTGGATAAAACTGAGTCTCTTGAGATGTATTTACTATTACACTCATTATGGACACTTTTTAGAGTGTTTGGAGGGTATAAGTGTGGATGTAAAGGGTAATCTAGGTCTTCTGTAGTGTTTTCGAAGTTACGGTGTCTAGGGAGAGGCGATAGTCCAACTTGATCTGTCAAAGATGCTGTAAGAACAGATTTGAAGGAGTTTTTCTTATTTTTTTATTAAAGAAAAAAAAGCATAAAAATATTATATTATTATCGGTTAGTAGACTTTTGACTTAATATGAACATGAACACTTTTTTTTCTACAAGATCATCAGAAAAGTCAAGAAAAAACCTTTTTTTTCAAACGTAAGGAAAGTATTAATTTTTGCGAACTGATTGACAATATAAAAAAGTTATTTTAACGCCTATAGGCTTAATGAAGTGTCAAATTCAATGAGCGTAACCCTAGTTTCTCGATATATAATTGCATACAAGATATTACTTTTAAATATTTTTATATTATTTGGAAGGTTTGAAATTGTTTAAAAAATTATTTGTGGCGTTTGAAAAAATATAATATGTTCTATTCAGAGTAAAAATGAATTTTTGTGCCTCGGCTGTATGTCAAACGCATACAGCCTCGCCACAAAGAGTGTCATTTTTACTACTAATAAAACAATATAGTGGAGTGCCCAGAGACTTTTACCTCGGAATTCAATTACTATGAATGTATTAATATGAAACCTTCTGTATTGTGTTTTATAGATAAAATACTAAAACGTTTATTTTTCTATAAAAATATTTTTGAAATGTCAGCTACTATTAAAATATATTTTGTACTCTATGGTATTAAGGTATTTTTGGAACTAGAATTTTATAGCAAATTCACTAAACTCGAATAAATAAATTATATATATTTGACTCACAATACAATGCAAAAAGTTTTAAAATAATTCGTTCACAGTAAATGAATTCCGAGGTTTGTATGTCATAAGGGCTTAAAGCACTCCACTAATATACTATTTACTGATTTCTCTACCAAATTTTACTCAAACCTAACCTCCAAATTGTTGCCTATCCAGAAAACCCCTACTATTCTGCCGTCTCCCGTCAAAATACCCATAACTCTCCCTCTTCCTGTCAGCATTCAGCTCCATAGACTGACTCCTCACTCCCAAAATCGGAGACTTGTACTCCATACCTCTTCCACTCAAAATCCTCCTATACCCTATGCGTGACGTCATTATAATGTTCGCCATAGGCGGAGGAGTGGGCAGGGGCAAATCTGGCAACCTCAGCGGCGAAATTTGAGGCTCATCCTTTGAGCTAGAGCACGTGGAGCTAAGAGAACTAGAAAAATCCGCGTTTAAAAACATATTTTTTGTAGTTTCTCAAAATTTGTACCTTTTTTTCGACATTTCTTTAGGGTTAGGTACAGGATCATCGTTCCTAATACGTCATCGATGTTTGTTTTGTTTCTCCGAGCATCTGGCAACGTCGCAGTGTGTGGTTTCACGCTCGAACGGGCAAATTTTTACTCTGAACATGCTCCTTTTGTTTGAAACGAACTTGGGGACCACCCGTATGGTTTTTACGACGGTTGTAAAAGGTTTTTGAAAGATTTTTACGTTAATTTTTTTGGTTTTTAATTCGATTTAATGAGGCCTATAATATGGAGATCGGTTATTAAAGAGAAAGTACAGTATGATCGAAAAAAAACGGCGTCAAAGAAAAAATATTCGATTGATGTGTACTATCAGTCAAGCAACTATGCATGCGAAACCTCGCCAATATTATCACCGATTGCCATGTCCCAGCCATCTTTGACACTTTTTTTTTTCATTGTATGGTACTCTAAAAAGATTATTTTTGAAGAAATAACGTACAGGGTGTATTTCTGACGATGTAGGTTGTGTTAAATGAACTCTGACAACACCGCTCGCGAGCTTTTAAGGTTATCTTCGAAATTATACTTAATTAGTATGAGCTTGCCGACGTTTTTTACTGTTTGGTAGGCTTGGATCATTAAGCAAACCTTTTTCTTATCATTTTAGAGTTTTTACGACATCTTAAAAACCCGTGGAATGTTTATTTTAATGTTCAATAAGCGTATTTAAGAAGCATTTTTATAGACTGGTAGTAAAAAGCTGATGTATCGTTAATTTAATACTATTTTACATAATATTTTACTTTTTTATATCCCTGAACTTTGGAATTTTTAAATTTAATACAAGTTTTCACCCAAAGGACAAGTGTGTCATGTCAAGAATTCATGAAGATATTCATAAAAAAATCAGAGTTATTATGAAATAAACATTTTTTAGAAAATTTTACCGCCCTATATCTTAAAAGTTAATCTAGTTAGGACTTAGGTCATACACACATATGAAGTTTTTTTAGAATAGGGTCAAGAATTACCCCTTTAAATGTTAACATGTCATTAAGCATCACTCTGTAGACTCAGTGAGAGCAGTAGACTCATGAAGATGTGTTTAAAATTATGAAATTTTACTCTGACACTACCCTAAAACCCTTTAAACACTAATTTAGATGTTTTCTTCTGGTAAAAACACACTCCTAGGGTAAAAACCCACTAATTCAGCACTTTAACACACTTATTTTCAGGCTATAACACTTTTAAACACTATTTTTATTACTATAACGCCAAGTTATATCTTTTTACACAGTCTCTCGCGATGTTTTTACCGCAAAACACTTATTTCCACAAGTGTAACACTAATTTAAATTGCTTTATATAGTTTTTTACAATGTTTTCATCAAAAATCCCTTATTTAGTACGAAAAAATGTTTTTTTTACACTTTTAAACACTACTTTAGGGAAATATAACACTAAATTAAGGTATTTTAAGTATGTTTTCGCGGTTTTTTCTCAGTTATAGCGTATTCTGCGGAATCAACTGGCCAAACTGAATATACACCAAGTGATTATACTTCGACGTAGGGGGAATATCACCCCTCCGGAGGGACAGCGAGCCTTGCGGGGGGTGAAGGGGTGCGGAATACAAAGGGGTGACTCATAGATGGCAAGTGTGGGCGCGATTATTAAAACTATGATCGGTTTGAGATCATTTTGCAGTGCCTTAAGAACTGAATGGTATTCTAGATAGAGTTGATTCATTGATTAATTATTTTTTGTCAATGAAAGTTGGTAAAAAAAACCTCGAACTTGCTTTAAACACAAAACCTTTCACAGTTATCTAATGATGCTTGTGATTGTATAGGCACATTTACCATTATATCTACATCATATTAGTCTATTTTGGTCATTTCTAAGTCGTTTAAATGAAAAACCTAAACTAAAATAAGTAATTGCTCTTTAATTTCGTCGGAAATTGTAGGAAATTGCGCTGCATTAACTATGCAAATGCTTTGGTAATGTTTAAATGAAAGGCTTCGGACCCGAGACGTTTAATAAAATGAGCTAACTGTAAAGGTTTTATAGATAAAACAAGTTAAATATTGGTCTAGGCGCGATGTTAAACATTATACCGTGTAGCCATAAATAAAGTGGTATTTTTTTAATGGTAGCATTAACGGTATATAATTTAAAAACTGATAAAGTAAGATAGTTAAATTGGGGCGAAGTTGCGCCTTGGGATGTTCACCAAGATGCCATGAAAAAAGTTTTAATTTTTTTTATAATTGTTGAGCTTTTAGAAAAAAACGGATTTTTTGAAAATCGATTTGATTTTTTCCTGTCGTTACTTTTTAGAAAATCAAAAAACTAATTGCACATTCTCATAGCCACTTTATTAGGGCTATCTGATAGTATTTTTAGATTTTCAAATTAGCTGATAATTTGTGAGATACAGAGGCCAACTTAATAATTTTTTTAAATACGGACCTGCATTTTTATTTCAGATTTTGATAGAACTCGGTCTGCTGAGTACAATGATGTGCCGCACTTAATATTTTTCTTGTTTTGACATTTGAACACAATTTATTTAAACTAATTTCAAGTCCGGCTATGTTTTTTTTTAATATTTAATCTAGATATCCATCCGCGAAATCAATTCATCTAAACCTTTACAATGAAGAGTAGGTGCAAAATGCATTCGGAAGTATAAGAAGAAAGTTCAAAGAGCAACAAATAAAATTGAACGAAAAATAAGTTTGTGCAACAGGGAAGGTGGTAACCCTTTCGAGCAAGGATAAATAAAAATAAAAGCTTATTTCAAAAATGTTTTAAATAAAATATAGTTAAAACTTAAATAAACAAAATTTTACGTAAATCTGTTTTTTTTTCTCCATATTTTCTTTACGTAGAATTTCCATTCTTATCTCTTGCTTAAGGTGACATTACCATTAATTTTTCTTCGCCTTTGACAAACCGTTTATACCGTTTTTTCCCTTTGTTTTTCCGTGTTTTCCGCATGATTTTAGTTTTATTTTCATTTTATTACCATTAGACACGCACGAGTCCACGAATGAAGTATTTTTTCGACAAAACTATTTGTTATATTTCGTGCAAAAGGTATTTTTTACCATCTGTAGGAAACGCCTTAAAAACTCTATCAAAATTGTATCTGCGTAAAAATAAAAAAAAATATCAGATATGAGGGGAAAAAAATTCTTGAAAAGTTGAGGTTCTAATATTAATTTTAAGAGGTGTAATTTCTTTTTTCTTTTACATTTCTTAATAATATAATGAACATACTTTTTGATTAAAAGTGTGGTTATCGATAAAATCGTAGTCATACACCGGAAAAAAAGATTTGCTGAATATGTAATCAGTACCAAATAAACCCACAACAGAGATATAGACATTATTATCTGAATTTCCTATGTTTTCTCAGTGTATTTATAAAACATCGAAAATAAAATCACGTAAATACTCCAAGATAATCTAAAAACTCGATTTTTGTGGTCGATTCTGAAGAACTTTTAACTGATAGACCGAATCCTATTCTTTTTAAATTGATTCCTTTGTTCAGCGGGTTCATTTTGCGATGTTTTGGACCGATTTGCGGTTAGGAAATGAGAACCATCATGGAATTAGGTACAATAGTTTGAAAAACCGCAAATAGAGTGGTCAAATCGAATTAAAAAGTCGATATAACTTATCCTGTTTAATTATTAGTTCTATATCTATTAAAGAGATTTAAATAAGAACATTCAAAATAATTATTTTGTTAGTTACTAGCGTGTACCTTGGTGTAATATGATGATAAAGCAAAGCAAGAATTTAGTTCTATATCTAAAAATTTTAAGGCTTCATTTCTCCAAGGGTATCAAAGTTTTTAATACTAAATATTTACTGAAGTTTATTTACTGATCAGTTATTGTGTTGCAATAATAAAAATAATACTACCTTATACAGAGTGTCTAAAAATTTATTTAAATAATTATTAGCTTCAAACGGCAATAACTTGTTTAATTTAAATGGAACACCCTCTATATTTTACGAGAATCAGATTTTACCTATCTCTTTAAGTTTCCGTAGAAAATGCATTTTCTTGTAATTTAGAACTTATTTATCAATATACCCATGGACTATTGACATTTTAGATTATTTTTAAAGATGTACCAAATTTTTAAAGAGTACAGATACTAATATTGTCGATATAATTCGTTTATTTCATTAAAAAATAAGAAAAATTGTTTAAATATTTATTAAAGAGGATCAATTAATATGATTCCAGTATTCAAACTACATTAACAGACTATTTGCGTTGATTAATAATAATTGCTCCAAATACTAAAAAACTGAATTTTGTATGGGCATTAGACAGTGTGATAAAAAGTAACACCTTAAAAATGATATTCATTTTTTAATAAATGCTGATTTATAACAACAGAGACTTTAATTTGATAACTTATTATTATATTGATTTCTGACTCAAATCCACATTTATTTATAATAATTTATTAACGAACACAATTAAGTATGTAATTAATTAGTATATGGGCGGAAATAATGGTGTTATATTTAATTAATGATATACTCTTTTATAAAGATTTAAATAGTTTTCTTTTTGCATACAAATGGGCTAGTGATATTATCGTTTTGCTAAAAACGATAATATTACTAGTCTGTACATTTTGTACATTTGTTGTTTTAAAAACAATCTAAAATGTCAATATTCCATGGATATATTGATAAATGAGGTCTAAATTATAAGAAAATGCATTTTCTACGAAAACTTGAAGGGATAGGTAAAAATGGTATAATACAATTTGATAGACAATTTAATTGTGCATCTGATTCTCCTAACTAAAATATACAGGGCATTCCATTTAAATTAAAGAAGTTATTGCCGTTTGAAGCTAATAATTATTTAAAATAAATTTTTAGACACTCTGTATAAGGTAGTATTATTTTTATTATTGCAACACAATAACTGATCAATAAATAAACTTCATTAAATATTTAGTATTAAAAACATTGAT